CCACATTTATACCCTCCACACTATCATTGATAAACATGTACACCAAAACAAAACCAAAATCTTTGCTTGCTTTATTGACTTTGAAAAAGCTTTTGATTCAATCTGGCATGAAGGACTCTTTCTAAAACTACTGGAAAATGGGATTGGAGGGAAAACGTTTGATTTAATCAGCACCATGTATAAAAACAATACATGTACTGTAAAAATAGGGAATAATCTGACAGAATTTTTCTCTCAACAACGAGGAGTTAGACAAGGTTGCCCATTGAGCCCCACTCTGTTTAACATTTATATAAATGAATTAGCCAAAGAATTAAACAATTCGACTGCCCACCGGCCCGACCCTAACTGAATCAGAAATCAAATGTCTCCTCTATGCAGATGATTTAGTCATTCTGTCAAAAACAAAAGAGGGACTACAACAGCTCCTCGACATCATAGAGACATTCAGTCAAACATGGGCTCTTAAAATCAACCTAGCAAAAACTAAAATAATGATTTTTCAAAAGAGACCCAGGTGTAAGGAAAATAAACACACTTTTAGAGCGGGAAACCAGGTCCTCCAACACACCCATGAATACAGCTATCTGGGACTAAACATCAGCTCAACAGGGAACTTCAGTCTGGCTGTGAATGAACTGAAAGCAAAGGCACTGAGAGTCTTCTACATGATCAAAAATACAATTCAATTTGAAATTCCAATTCAAACCTGGCTAAAAATCCTAAAAGCAATCATCGAACCAATCGTTCTTTATGGCAGTGAGATATGGGGACCCCTAAAAACCCAAGATTTCTCCAAATGGGAAAAAGAAGAAATTTAAATTATGCATAGCCAAATTTGTAAAAGCATCTTAAAAGTAAACAGAGCAACCTCAAACAACTCAGAGCTGAATTAGGACAATACTCATTATTAATTAGTATTCAAAAGAGAGCTGTGAAATTCCAGCAGCACCTGAGATGCAGTGACGCGAGCTCTCACCAGACTGAAGCCCTGCAGTGACGCGAGCTCTCACCAGACTGAAGCCCTGCAGTGACGCGAGCTCTCACCAGACTGAAGCCCTGCAGTGACGCGAGCTCTCACCAGACTGAAGCCCTGCAGTGACGCGAGCTCTCACCAGACTGAAGCCCTGCAGTGACGCGAGCTCTCACCAGACTGAAGCCCTGCAGTGACGCGAGCTCTCACCAGACTGAAGCCCTGCAGTGACGCGAGCTCTCACCAGACTGAAGCCCTGCAGTGACGCGAGCTCTCACCAGACTGAAGCCCTGCAGTGACGCGAGCTCTCACCAGACTGAAGCCCTGCAGTGACGCGAGCTCTCACCAGACTGAAGCCCTGCAGTGACGCGAGCTCTCACCAGACTGAAGCCCTGCAGTGACGCGAGCTCTCACCAGACTGAAGCCCTGCAGTGACGCGAGCTCTCACCAGACTGAAGCCCTGCAGTGACGCGAGCTCTCACCAGACTGAAGCCCTGCAGTGACGCGAGCTCTCACCAGACTGAAGCCCTGCAGTGACGCGAGCTCTCACCAGACTGAAGCCCTGCAGTGACGCGAGCTCTCACCAGACTGAAGCCCTGCAGTGACGCGAGCTCTCACCAGACTGAAGCCCTGCAGTGACGCGAGCTCTCACCAGACTGAAGCCCTGCAGTGACGCGAGCTCTCACCAGACTGAAGCCCTGCAGTGACGCGAGCTCTCACCAGACTGAAGCCCTGCAGTGACGCGAGCTCTCACCAGACTGAAGCCCTGCAGTGACGCGAGCTCTCACCAGACTGAAGCCCTGCAGTGACGCGAGCTCTCACCAGACTGAAGCCCTGCAGTGACGCGAGCTCTCACCAGACTGAAGCCCTGCAGTGACGCGAGCTCTCACCAGACTGAAGCCCTGCAGTGACGCGAGCTCTCACCAGACTGAAGCCCTGCAGTGACGCGAGCTCTCACCAGACTGAAGCCCTGCAGTGACGCGAGCTCTCACCAGACTGAAGCCCTGCAGTGACGCGAGCTCTCACCAGACTGAAGCCCTGCAGTGACGCGAGCTCTCACCAGACTGAAGCCCTGCAGTGACGCCAGCTCTCACCAGACTGAAGCCCTGCAGTGACGCGAGCTCTCACCAGACTGAAGCCCTGCAGTGACGCGAGCTCTCACCAGACTGAAGCCCTGCAGTGACGCGAGCTCTCACCAGACTGAAGCCCTGCAGTAATTAAACCACATTTTATGGCATTATCAAATACAGAGAAATTAAGTGACATTTTAGGGGAAGATTCCAAAAATGATCCCCACAGCAGCAAGATATGTATCAGCCTGTCACACACTCAGACTGTCAGCCAGTGGACAAAACTGAAGCAAGAGCATTTCTTACACGTACTGTTGTGCAATTTATTTATTATTTATTTTCTTTTTAACAATGTCTTTAATATTTTTCTTGTTTCTTGTTTGTGGAAAAAAAGAGAAGGTATACATGTACTTATTTACTTAATTATTTTACATATCTATTGTTGTTTTGTTTATGTATTATATAATTGTTTATTCCTTATCCATGTAATGGACAATGCTTTGGCAATACTGTGCAAGTCATGCCAATAAAGCTCATTTGAATTTGAGAGAGAGAGAGAGAGATTAGATTTTTAACCACATATTTATTAACTACACAACTTCTGGTATAATTTACAAAATTCACAAAGAGTTACTCAAATTCTTCAACAAATTGCAATGTATCATTTTCAAACCAGCACAAAACATTTTCTACACTCCAAACCTCTTCAAGCTTTTCCAATTTCTTCATATGAGAGTAGAAAATAAAGTCATGTTTTATTCTAGTCCCTTGAACAACAATTAAACATTTTTACTACTGCCATGAGCAACTTTATATTTCCTACTAATATAAACTGCCATTTTGGCTCGACCCAAAATAAAATTTAGCAACCGTCCTTTCCTCTTTTTCCTTTTGCAATATTTAAAACCAAAAATAAACACAATCATTGTAAACATTTCATTAACATTAGTAAATATAATCTCCAATAAAGCAAACACAGGTCTTAATCTCTCACAATGCATAAAACAATGAAATACGTTTTCTCTTTGATCACAAAAAGGACAGCAATCTTGCACATTTGGATTCAACACTGAGATAAAAGCATTTACAGCAACAATCCCATGTCAAATTCGCCATTGAAGATCACCCACATTTTTAGTCAATTGTGGTTTGTAACAAGAGCCCCAAAAAGGCTTAACTCCAATATCAACACTTAAATGGTCTCTCCATGGTGTATCCATTCGTTTTAGTTTCTCTTTATTTATCACCTTCACACAAACTTTATATAAACTCTTTCCACCCATTGTATCAAAAGTTAAGTCTCTCAAATTCTCTGAGGTCATTAAAACATTTTCATTTTCAATTACACTTTTAGAGATCACCATACAAGGAAAAAGATCCGTTTTATCAGGAAGCGCTTGACTCGACACAAGGTTCCAATCTTCTTCACTCAAATTTTCTCGCCACTTCTTTAACAAAAGATGGACTGTCCTTGTTGATTTAATTCCAAGTCTCTGCGCAAGTGCATTAGCATTGTCCAACGCGATACCAGCCACTTCTATTAAGTCCTTCATTTTAACAACTTTGGCTTTTGTTAACGTTTGCATCAACCATAAAGTTGTATGTCCACAAAACTCCAGTCGAGCACCATTAATCAAAGGTTCTTCCAAAAACCAATACAGAGACTTACATGACATTGATCTTTTAACCTGTACCATACACCATGCTCTTCTTACACTCTCATAAAAGGAAGAATCTCACAATCTGTCCAAAAAATATTTCTTCTAAAACCCCACCCGCCAACCTTACTTAAAAGGCAACAGGCTGGTCCAAACCATGATATATTTGGACTATATAAAAACTTTTGAACAAACTGTAGCCTAAAAGCTACTTTCCTACTTATAAGATCAACAACCCCTTGTCCACCTTCTTCCTTTGGAAGATAAAGAACATTTCGTGGTAACCAATGTAATCTATCCCAAAAGAAATGTATCATCTTGAGCTGTATTTTTCCAAGAACCCCTACCGGCATAATGAGGAGGCTACTAGATTATTAATAATCAAAGCTCTCCCCCTGAAAGACATTTTAGGTAAAATCCATTTCCACCTTCCTAATCTTCCTTCTACATTTTCCAGAACATTTCCCCAGTTTCTTTGCATTATTATTTCATCACCCAAAAAAAACTCCAAGATATCTAAGACCTCTTTGTGACCAAACCATTTCACCTGGTAAAACCATTCTCCTTCATTCCATTTTCCAACCCTATACGCTGAACTTTTAGCCCAATTTACTTTTGCAGATGAAATTTTTGCATAAATATCAACCAGTTTATCAATATCATCCTGTCCACTGGTTACAACCAATACATCATCTGCATAAGCTGATAGTTTTATGGGTGGAAAAGTTCTCTCATATCTAAAACCATCTAAATGAGTCCTAATTTTATTTAGCATGGTTTCTATTGCTATTGAGTAAAGC